TTGGAGCCAAACTGTGCAGGACAGGGCCTCAAGGACCGAGTTGGGAAACCACCACATGCATCCAGTATAAACTACATATACAGAATATATACTTTGCTAATGGTCACAAATTTAATTGTACTACCTACTACGCAATAGTAGTATAGACAGTACGCAATTTTGAACACACAGCAAATCATCAGTCGTCAACTGAACAATAAAATAGTTATAGCAAAACAAAAAATTGTATGTTCATAGTACTAAAATGAACTACAAACTGACCACATGCATGGATTTTTTTCATAGAAATCATCTATAATAAATTTAATAAGTCACCTAAAAACTTATGCTGAGGCTTTTAAAGCATCAGTTGTGTAATACTTAGTTCATGATCAGAATACAGTCAGTTAAACAGAACTCGTATTAAGTTAATGTTAATTAAATAAAAGGTGATAAAAACATTTCAGCGTTGAGAATAAGTTGGTAACTTTAGAATACTCGTCAGAAACAGACGCAAGGATTTAATCCACGATAATAACAGCACCCAATAATGTTTGTGTCAAGTATGCAGCAAAACTTTCTGTAAACAAATTTGCGACAAGCTAGTTAACCCTATCTGACAGCTTAGACAACATAAGGCGTTACTTTTTAAAACTAAACTTACCTTCATAGCCATGGATATTGTTGAAAAAGTAGGCTACTTAAATTCTTTTTCTTTTTAGCATGGTCATAGCCACACTTAGCAGGAAGCACACCCGCTGATAAGGACAGGTGCGATGGTGTCGCGTTTAGTTGAAAGGACCTTGTGCGTCAAAAAAAAAAAAAAAAAAAAAAACCTGTACCGGTTGTGGCTATCTTCTGTATTATTGTAATTCATGAGAAAGTGTTTATGAATTTATCGTAACAATTGTCAATTTAGTCCCATAAAACAAATGTTTTTTTTTTCTCCGTAGTAAACTACCAGACAAAAGACCTGTCGCCTATTCAAGTTGGAACAGCAAATAATAACTTAACTTCTATAGCTGATGATTTGTTATCAGAAGTGGCTTATATGAAAGGCAACATCCTCCAGAATACGCTTATTCGACCAAAATAAAATATGTTAATGCCTTGATTTTTTAAAATTATTCAATTTGGACAGTAAGATCTGACTTTGCTTAGAAAAAACTCACTTTCATGTAAAAAGTATTAATATTGTGTATGACTCCCATGAGCTTGGATGACTGCATCCATACATCTCTGCAATGACTCAAATAACTTATTAATAAAGTCATCTGGAATGGCAAAGAAAGCATTCTCTTTTTAGAGTTCATCAAGATTCTGTGAATTCATCTACAATGCCTCCTTCATCTTACCCCAGACATGCTTAATAATGTTCATCTCTGGTGACTGGGCTGGCCAATCCTGGAGCACCTTGACCTTCTTTGCTTTCAAGGAATTTTTATGTGGATGCTGAAGTATGAGAAGGAATGCTATCCTGCTGAAGAATTTGCCCTCTCCTGGGATTTGTAATGTAATGGGCAGCACATGTCTTGATACTTCAGGCTGATGATGTTGCCATTCACTCTGCAGATCTCTGTGTATTGTAGTATAATATACGCTGTAGTAGTAGAAAACATATTTGCAGTATTTACTTAGACCTAACTTTTACAGACAAAGCCTAGTACAGTATTTGTATAATGTTTTTATTAAATTAATTTAATAATTTATTAGCAAATGGTTTCGAAAGCATTATAATATATACCTAAAATTACTATTTTTTTCATGAGGGAGTAGCCTATGTTTTAGCATATTTCACTTATTTATTTATCGTGGTAACACAATTTTTTACAACTTTGTAATTACTTTCCAGATACATTTAAAGTAACTGCTAAATTTGAATAAGCTATACCAGTTAAAACATTTGCATGGCCAGTATCAAAACTACTTTATCTGCACTTACTGTTGAACCCTGCTGAAGCGTCTTCACCTTATTTGCCTTTTGAAGGCTGCACCTTGCATCAACAGAATTCTATTGTGCAAATACCCATAATCCATTGCACAATAACAATAATGACAGATCGCCTCCTTTTGCATCAAAAGGCTACAGTATATGGCTGGCATCCCTCTACTTTAGAAAATAGCAACGTTTAAAAGTGCCTTCCCATTTCATGGCTAGACCACCCACATTAACTATTGCAAAAGCACACCAACATGTTCCTGTCATCACAATGAGAAAGACTGATTCGACCTAAGGCTGGAGAGCGTATTAATAAACCACTTTCATGAACTTTTCCACATATGTAGTTGCTTTTTATGCAGTTTTAAATGGTCTAGTTGACACTGCCAAGACTGAACAAACACCAAAGATGACAACATGTTAAAGATATGGCAATTGTATATAAGCCATTGATTCAAATTTATATTAAAAACAGAAGGGGGGAAATGAAAACTGTGATGAAGCCTTTAAACTGCTCACAAGATTTCCACACAAATGATCAACTTTCAGTTAAGTTAAAAAAAAACCTCTGCGTTTTAATGCCTGAAGTGTTCGATTTACTTTATAAAATAATTATATAACCGGCCACTTTATTAGGTACACCTTACTAGTATCACTTTGGACCCGCTTTTGCCTTCAGAACTACCTTAATCCTTCGTGGCATAGATTCAACAAGGTACTGGAAATATCCCTCAGAGATTTTGGTCCATATTGACATGATAGCATCACACAATTACTGGAGATTTGTCGGCTGCACATCCATGATGTGAATCTCCCATTCCACCACATCCCAAAGGTGTTCTATTGGACTGAGTTCTGGTTACTGGAAGCCATTTGAGTACAGTGAATGTATTGTCATGTTCAAGAAATCAGTCTGAGATCATTCATGGCAATTCATGACTATTATATGGCGCTTTATTCTGCTGGAAGTAGCCATCAGAAGGTACACTGTGGTCATAAATGGATGGACATGGTCAGCAACAATACTCAGGTAGGCTGTGGCATTGACACGACGCTCAACTGGTATGAATGGCCCAAAGTGTGGCAAGGAAATATTCCCTGCACCATTACACCACCACCACCAGCCTGAACCGTCGATACAAGACAGGATGGATTCATGCTTGTAAGTTGTTGACGCCAAATTCTGACCCTATCATCTGAATGTCACAGCAGAAATCAAAACTCATCAGACCAGACAATGTTTTTCTAATCTGCTATTGTCCAATTTTGGTTTCCAATTTAAGCACGTGTGAACTGTAGCATCACTGTAAACGGCTATTCTTAGCTTACAGGATTAGCACTCTGTGCTGTAGCCCATCTGCCTCAAGATTGGATGTGTTGAGTATTTAGAGATGCTATTCTGCATACCTCAGTTATAAGGAGTGGTTATTTGAGTTACTGTTGCCTTTCTATCAGCTGGAACCAGTCTGGCCATTCTCCTCTGACCTCTGGCATCATCAAGGCATCTGCGCCCACTGAACTGCCGCTCACTGGATATTTTCTCTTTTTCAGAGAATTCTCTGTAAACAATATGGTTATGCATGAAAATCCCAGTAGATCAGTTGTTTCTGAGATACTCAGTCCAGCCCATCTTGCTTCAACAAGGCAAGTTCAAAGTCACGTAATTCATCTTTCTTCCCCATTCTGATGCTCGCTTTAAACTGCAGCAGATCGTATTGACCATGTCTACATGCCTAAATAATAATAAAACTCCTTACATTTATACTGCGCTTTTCTAGGCACTCAAAGCGCTTTACACAAAGGGGGAAAACTCCTCATCCACCACCAGTGTGTAGCATCCACCTGGATGATGCGATGGCAGCCATTTTGCGCCAGACCGCACACCACACACCAGCTGATTGGTGGAGAGGAGACAGAGTGATAAAGCCAGTTATGATATAGGGAGGGTTAGGAGGCCATGATGGACAGAGGCCAGTGGGCCGATTTGGCCAGGATGCTGGGGTTAAACCCCTACTCTTTTTCGAAGGACGTCCTGGGATTTTTACTGACCGGGCGCAGCCCTGCATGCTTAGCTTCAGTGGGCGACCATGTGAGAGTTGCAGAGAGCTAGCTGCTGACAAAGCTAAATGCAACGAGTTGCTGCCATGTGAATGGCTGATTAGCAATTTGTGTTAACGAGCAGTTGGACAGGTGTACCTAATAAAGTGGCCAGTTAGTGCATATTCTGTATTCTTGTATAGTAGTTAGATATTCCTATGTTAAAAATAAATAAATAAATAAATAAATAAATCCAAATAAAAAAAATGTAGCTAATAAAACATTTACAGCTCAGTAATTATACATCGTAAGCAACTAATTTTTGACTTTATGTTAGAATCAAATGAAAGCAGGTCAATGCCTTCCAAAAAAGGAAAGATAATCCCTTAATCACATATAAAGTTTATACACACATATAAACATTATATAATGATATCTCAACTAAAAGCTCTTTAGGCTGAGAAAATGAATCTGGGAAATAAACAAAGTGTACAAGGCATGATTTTCATTTAGTAAGAACATTTAAACAAATCCATTGTCTTTTTTTTCACCATCTTATAAATCAATAGACTTCACACAGTACCAAATATGCATATTTGAACCTCCATCCATCACCACGGTCTCTTAAAAATATCTACATTTCTGGCTGGCTCATTTGATTCAACATTATAAAGTAATGAAAAGTGAACAAAGCTGTTTTTGCATAAAGCAGAGCTCAAATAGGCCTCTATCAAATAATCTAATCAACCGAAAAGAAAGTCATAGAACAAAACCAAAAAGTAAACTCTGATTACTTCTTGATTTCCTCAGTTTAGGAAAGAACTCCCAAGCTACCATTAAGACTTGGCTTCTTTTCCCACTGGTTTAGTGAATAACCAATGAACAGCCTCGGGAACATGTGCTACCCCCCCCCCAAAAAAAAAACAATAAATAACATTCAACAATACACCTTGCCACTGAAACAACTTTAAGAAACATTTGGGATAGGCGTCACCGGACTTGCGCAAGATCCTGCCTTCATTCAAATAGTACAATGAAAAGGATATTAGTATTATTATTTATTAGTATGTTCACCCCAAAATTATATTTCTGTCAATTCACACTCACCCATAGGATTACAAACCCATTTCACTCTCCTCTTTAAAAAAAAGAAAGAAAGAAAGATATTTGTAATAGAATCGGACAGATTTCGAACTCTCCATTGTAAATGTGATGCTTCAAAAGACTTTTAAAAGGAACACTCCACTTATTTTGGAAATAGGCTTATTTTACAACTCCCCACAGTTAAACAGTTGAGATTTACGAGTGTTAAACTTATTCAGCCGATCTCTAGATCTGGGAGGAGCATTGTTAGCTTAGCTTAGCATAAATCATTGAGTTGGATTAGACCATTAGCATCTCACTCGAAATAAAAAAGGGTTTAATTAATTTGATCAAATTAATCCAATTCAGTGGTTTATGCTAAGCTAAAAGTGCTTACGACAGTCCCACAGATAGGCTAAATGAATTCAAAACTCAAATGTTTAACTGTAGGTGACTTGAAAATGACACTATTTCCAGAAAAAGTGGAGTGTTCCTTTAAGAGAGCAAACAAAAACCCATATGAACTGAGTGGTTTAATCCAAGATGCTTTTAAACTACAGATCAACAGTGATTGTCATGTTTACAGCATTTGTATTTGCTAACAGAAGCTTATGCATGCTTACTTGATCATTGAAAACTTCAATCTTGAGTTCCTGTGACAGGTTTATTATTCCACAAGAACCAATGAGATTTATTCTCATTCATCAAGAGTGTGTTTTTGAGCTCCTTTTTGCTGATCAATGTTATTATGTGAACAAAATCTCTTCAGAAGACTTTGGTTAGACCATACTGTAGGTCTTAAACTGGATTCCTGGAGGGTCGCAGCTCCAACACTAATCAAACACAGCTGATCCAAATAATAAAGGTATTCAAGACTACGAAAGACTCTTAAGCAGGGGGAAGTTGGAGATGGTTGGAGCTAAAGTTTTCAGAGTTGCAGCCCTCCAGGAACTGAGTTTGAGACCACTGGGTTAAAACAACTTAACATGGAATTTTTAGGATCTCTTTTGATTTTTTTTAGGTTTTGGGTGAATAAACTTTTAATGGAGGTTCAGCAATCTCTCAGCTTTCTATAAAACATCTTCATTTGGATTTGGAATGCTAAAGGGGTGAGTACAGAACAACATTTTCCATTTTGATCCAAAATAACAGGGCAAGTAAACCCAAAAATACCAATTTCCCCACTCTCAAGTGGTTCTAAACCATTATAGATTTTTTTTTCTGTTGAACACAAATCAAGATATTTTGAAGTATGTTGGGAAAAACAGCTATTTACATCTATAAAAAGAACAAAAAATACTATGAAAGTCAATGACTCTTTTATTCCCAACATTCTTTAGTGTTCAACAGATCTCAAACAGGCTCAGAACAAGTGGAGGGTGAGTAAATGATCGCAGAATTAAAACTACCTCTTTAAAAGGGCAACATTGTATTGTTTAGTAGTATGTAGCAGTTTTCATTGTAGAGCTAAAAGTATTCTTCCAGCCAGCAAAATCTAAAACCGTTAATGCACAACATGAAAAACGTTGCTTATGGTCAATAAAAACCGTGAAAGAAAATCATGTTCCATTGTCAATGAGATGAGGATGTTCCCAAGTGCTTGCACAAGTTTAATTATCATTTGCACTTACACACACACACACTTGAAACTCATACTCAATAAATAGACAGTGTGGTAAGGCAGTGTTGAAACATGCATTCATTCATCGCAAAAGAACCTATCAAACATTCATACGCAAGTAACAATATACACAAATGTATGTTGTTTTGGAGTATTTTTTTGGCAATGTCGGATTATCAAGGCTTTTTAGGTGAAACTCTCCAGACTCCTGGAATAAATGTTGTCAACTTCTGAGGCGATTCAAGAGATGAGAGGAGCTCTGGAATGAAAGCGGATCCTTTCCATTGCCTTATGAGTTTCTCTTTAGGAGGAACAAAAAAACTAAAGAAGGGCAAAAAGGAGGTGATTTCCCTCCTGGTGGCAGCCAGCTGCACGAGTTTTCAAGACGATCCGGTAGTCTCCAGGTAGCTTTGCAGCTTCCGAACTGTGGTTTTGTCCAGAGAGCAAAGGTCAAAGTCAAAGGTTGTGTTTGTGATGTGAAAGTGTCCCGTTTCTTCAATGAGGTTTACAATCTGCAAGAAAAAGACAGAACATGTGATTACTCTTGCTTAAATTCAGCTGCTTTTGATTCAAACATTGTTTCCCAATACTGGGTTGTGGCTAGAAGGGCATCCGCTGCGTAAAACATATGCTGGAATAGTTGGCGGTTCATTCCACTGTGGTGACCACTGATAAGTAAGGGACTAAGTCTAAGGAAAATGAATGATTCAAACATTCACTTCATTTCTTTATTAAATATTTTAAATCTACAATCACAGCAGAAAAGAGACTGAAACTGAAACAGATTCAGTTAAAACCCTGATTCATTCAGTGAAAAAGCCATGTAACATCTTCATAAGCGAATAACTGATTTACTGGTTCAAGAGATTGTCCAAAATGCTTATAAAACAAGTATGAAACAAGAAGTCATTTAATCATTTGTTCAGAAGAATCACTTAAAAGCACCGATTCATCATGTAATAAAGCAAGTGATGTCTTTATGGGAGTCATTGAATTGTTTGCACTGAATCATTTGTTTAAAAGATTCATTCAAAATAATGCTTATATATCTGGTATGAAACAAGTGAGGTTTTTTAAGTCAGTGATTCATTCATTCACATGATTCATTTTAAAGCAATGATTAATCTAGTAATGAACCAAGTCAAGTCTTATATGAGTTACTGAATCATTTGCTGAAGATTCATTCAAAATAATGATTTAAGTATGAAACAAGTATTTTAAAGAGCTTGTGAATCATTCATTTAAAAGCAATGATCAATCTAGCAATGAATCAAGTAAAACCCTAAATTAGGTACTGAATCATTTGCCCTACAGATTCATTAAAAAAATGTTGATTTATTAATGAAACAAGTGAGCGTTTTTTTTAAGAGTTCACACGGTTCATTTAAAAGCAATGATTCATCTAGTAATGAACCAGGTGAAGTCCCATATGAGTTACTGAATCATTTGTTCCATAAATTCATTCAAAAATACTAATTCATCAAATATTAAACAAGTGAGTTTTTTTAAGAGTCAGTAAATTATTCATTCACACGATTCATTTAAAAGGCAATGCTTAATCCAGTCATGAACCAAATGAAGTCTTGATCACGAATGAGTTACTGAATCATTTGTTCCAGAGATTCATTCAAAAATGCTGATTTGTCAAATATGAAGCAAGTTACGTTTTTTAAGAGAGTCAGTGAATCATTTATTCACATGATTCATTTAAAAGCAATGATTCATCCACTAATGAAACAAGTGAAGTCTTCATATATAGACAAATCAGTATTTATTTTATTGGTTCATTTATCTAGTCATGAACCAAGTGAAGTCTTAAATGACTTACTGAATCAATTGCTCCAGAAATTCATTTAAAAAAATTGAGATTTATTAAGTATGAAGCAAGTGAAGTTTTTTAGGAGTCAAAAAATCTTTCATTCACGTGATTTCATTACAATCAATGATTCATCTAGTAATTAATCAAGTAAAGTCTTAAATGAGGTATTGAAACATTTGCCCAAGAGATTCATTCAAAAATGCTGACAAAAGCCATTAATTCAAATAATCCAGTAAACAGTTGTTGGCTGTTTTGATTTTAATGATCTATTCAGAACTGGGATCTCTATATTAAAAAAATAATAATAAAAGAGATCTCCAGGATCATGCAGTTTTTGTGTGAACATGACTCATTTTTCCTCAGAAAATCTACTTCAATATAGTTACTCTGCAGTTTTAGGATCAGAATGACCCATTCAGAAGCATCCCTTCTCAGTGGGCATTCTGAATCTTACACAAAGCACTATTGACTCGCACAACTCGCATGATGTGTCGGGTCTGATCGTAATGAGGAAGCTGCTTCACCAAACCAGTCTGTTATTGGTTCCAGTCCTGCGCGTTCAGATGGGATTGAACTGGTGATTACAGAACGAGGGGGGGTTTCAGAATGGGTACATGGATTAAACCGGCCAGTAATGGGACCCAAACCTGATCCGTTTCACACTACAAAGCAAAAGTCGCATATGGAAAGAATTTCTTCCATTTCTCCTGAATGCGAGCCAGAAACACACAGAGACCCAGAGGCCTGTTATGACACTGAAGATAGAAGTCAGCTGTTCCAGAGCCTGCAGCCTGGACAAAAAGAAGAAAAAACATGGACGTTCTGCAATTGTTTAATTTAGGAAGTTTAAGAAAACAGCAAGTCTACTGTAAAATTTGTTGGTCATATAATCTACTCTGACAGAAATGTTAAAATATATATTAAATATAGGTTATACATAAATTTTTTTCTCAGCTTAGTCCCTTTATTAATCCGGGGTCGACACAGCGGAATGAACGGCCAACTTATCCAGCATGTTTTTTTACGCAGCGGATGTCCTTCCAGCCGCAACCCATCTCTTTGAAACATCCAAACACACTCATACACTACGAACAATTTAGTCTACCCAATTCACCTGTACCGCATGTCTTTGGACTGTGGGGGAAACCAGAGCACCCGGACGAAACCCACACGAACACAGGGAGAACATGCAAACTCCACACAGAAATGTCAGCTGATCCAGCCGAGGCTCGAACCAGCGACCTTCTTGCTGTGAGGCAACAGCACTGCCTACTGCGCCACTGCATCGCCCTAAGTTATACATTAACTTGAATATGTTACCTATAATGCTTATTAAATTGATTAAATATATATTATATAATATGAAATAAATGCAATTACGTTAAAATAAGTCAATTTGTGCATCTATTTGATTTGATCTATTTTACCCCAATGTTAAATATTTTCCAAGGATAAAAACAAAATATTGTAAATAAATGCTTACAATAAATAAAAATGTTACCTATTAACATAAATATAATATTTGTTTTCCAGATACAGAAAATGATTTGATATATAAACAATTATAGTATATTAAAGTAAGTTAATATGTGATTTTTTAAATAAAAAATTAACATCTATGTTTATTTAATATTTTTATATATTTCAGTTATCCACACACTAAAACTGACCATTTGCATACAAACAAATATCCACTCACTGGCCACTTTATTAGGTACACCTGTCCAACTGCTCTTAAACGCAAATTTCTAATCGGCCAATCAGATGGCAGCAACATGGTCAAGACTATCTGTTGAAGTCCAAACCGAGCATCAGAAACAGAGCATCAGAATGGGGAAGAAAGGGGATTTAAGTGAGTTTGAACGTGGCATGGTTGTTGGTGCCAGACGGACTGATCTGAGCATTTCAGAAACTGCTGATCTACTGAGATTTTCACACACAACCATCTCTAGGGTTTACAGAGAATGGCCTGAAAGAGAGAAAATATCCAGTGTGTATTGTGGGCGTAAATGCCTTGTTGATGCCAGAGGTCAGAGGAGAATGGCCAGACTGGTTCGAGCTGATAGAAAGGAAGCAGTAACTCAAATAACCAGTAAGGTGTACCTAATAAAGTGGCCGGTGAGTATACATATGCACGCACACACACACAAACACATTTTAAAATTGAAATCTATAAAAAACACATGAGTAGATGTAGATATAACATTTATTTTCCCTACAAAACTATTGCGGCAGCACAATGAAATAAAGCTTGCCAATGACATCAACAAATTTTCCAGGTTGCATCAATCGGTAATCATGCAAGTTAATCAACGCCATATCTTGTTGCGGAGGAGGATGATTATTTCTCAAAATGCTGCAGGATTAGCTTGATTAAGATGTACGTTTGCACTGTTTGGACTTCATTCGGGATGTTTTCCAGACTTCAACCACCACAGGCTTTGCAACAGAAGGGCACGGCAAAAATCTTGGAACGAAAGCAGCACAGAATTACTCTCCATTGTGTCAAAGCAAACAACCCTCAAAGAGCAGGAATTACGCGCCGCAAAGAGTTTATTTGGCAAGACAAAACCTACAGTTACCAGCATGATTTATAACAGCCAGACCATCAATGACATGTTAATGCTGTGGGTAATACAGTTAAACTTTACAGGTGTCTTCCCTTTCTGGTAAAGCTTTCTGTGATCCTTAAATTTAAGTCTCATGTTGCCTCATAAAGGTCATTTCGAGCTGTAGAAATACAGTCTCGTGTGCAGAGATGTGAGTGATTCGGGAAAAAGCTGATTTCTGACAGCACACGCTCTTCATTTATTACCTGCTGTAATATGTGCCTTTCCCTCAGTGCCATTAGTCTTCTGTGAAGCTCCACCAGCTCATCCAAGTACGCCTGGGGAAAAAGATCTTACATTAATCAAGAAAAAAAAAAGGAGACATATTTCAGATCAATCACGCTTTTACACAATGTGGCATGAATCAAACTGTTGTGCTGCACATTTTTTTGCTTATTGGACTGAAATGGTTTCAGAATTGTTTAAAGCAAACAATAAATACACTTTTTACATTTAAACATTTACTTATTTATGGTGAGACAGTGCAGGCAAAAACATTGGGTCGTATTTACTAGTGATTGCGTATTTTTGGAGTCTTATAAATGAACGCCCACATACATGAGGTTATTAATTTGCATAATACACACCCAAACCAGCTCCATACATGGCACCAGAACAAATGAACTTTAACAATAATGAACGTGAGCTTTTGCTGTCAGGGGTGGAATCTAGAAAAGGTGTCCAAATTAAAAAGAAGTTGTATAAATCAAACATTATTTTCTAATATTTCAATGATCAATTATTCCTTACTTTATGTACATTTAAATATGTTTTGACTATCTTAAGAAGGTAGAAAGGCTTAAAACCTTACAGATCCCATTTACACCTTTAGCATCATCCATTTGGGTTTAGACTAGGGATGTCATGATAGAATAAAGAAGAGTGAAGAAACAGATCCAGCTTATTTTAACATTCAACAATTGTGTTAACAAACAAATGGAGCACTCCTGTGAGGTAGCTTCAACAATCAAGTAATAAATAACAAACTCTTCACCTCCTTGCAGTCCCAAGTTTACATATCTCACAGTTTGCTATGGCAATGTTGTCGTCATCAACTATATAATACCTCCAAACCACAGACATACTCGAGTTGTTGCTAGATAAGACACAGTTGTGACCGGAAGTTAACAAGATATACTATATATTACATTTCGCATTAATTGTATTTTATTAACGTCTTCCCCTACTCAAACCCTAAACACAACGGTCACAGTAATGTAAAAACAGTAGTTGTACTGAGTTTTTTTTTTATGTTATTTGTTAAATTACCCTATAAATGTTCTTTTTAACTCCTACCCTAACCCTAAACCCAACCGTCAGAGTAGATTAAAAATATTAGTTACTGTTCTGCAGTGTCACAAAAATTCTGCTATATTAATGTGCGTATCTGCAGCTGTATTCTACCTAGACTTTACCACATACTCACGCTTTCCACTTTAAGCTGCTTCCCTGTACTACTTTGCCAGTATTTAACCAATAGCAAGAAAGTGATGTCATGCCGCAAACACTGCTGTTTCTGTGATAAGTCAAGAAAGAGGTCTAACTCTGTGCCACCGCATAACTATTAATGTGTTAAAAATAATGAGAATATATATATAGATACAAACACACATGAAGTCAAAACTATTAGCCCCCCTGTTTATTGTTTCCTCAATTTGTTTAACAAAGTGAAGATTTTTTTTTTTATATTTTTAAACATAATAGTTTTAATTACTCATTTCTAATAACTGGTTTGTTTTATCTTTGCCATGATGTCGGTAAATAATATTTGACTAGATATTTTTCCAGGCACTTCTATATATATATAGGTTTATTAGGTTAACTAGGCAGGTTAGGGTAATTAGGCAAGTTATTGTATAACGATAGTTTGTTCTGTAGACTATCAAATAAAAATATAGCTTGAAGGGGCTAATAATTTTGAAACACAGAAACAGCAACGCGTGCGGCATGACATCACTATTGGTTAAATGCAAGCAAAGTAGAATATGGAAGCAGCTTGAAGCAGTAAGTGAGAGTATGTCTGTGATCTGAAGGTATTATAAAGTTGATGACAACAACACTGTCATAGCAAACTGTGAGATATGTAAACGTGGCAATGCCTGTGCTATTTGATTTTATATTAGATTTTTTTGTATAATTGCTGCTGCACAAAAGTCCAAAAGTGAAGAATTGATGTTATTTATTACTTGATTGTTTAAGCTACCTCACATAAGTGCTCTGTTTGTTTGTTAACATAGTTTTTAAATGTTAAAATAAGGTGAATTAAATAAAAAAATAAGGAACATCCTGGATCTGTTTCTTCGCTATTCTTTTTTTTTTTTTATGCAATATAGAAGTATCTGATCAGGTTTCAGTGTCGGTAGATACTCAAAATCAAATGACTCTGACTCGAGGGCAAAAAAAATCAGACAATGACATCCTTAATTACTGTAAAAGTTTGACTTCCAGGCAATACAAGAGTTAAATTAGAATATTAGTATATGCTTTGAAATTAAATAACATATGTATAATATATGTATTTATTATGCAACAATTATGGATTATAGCACATTAAATAAAAGATCTGCTTACCTTGTCACAGTCAATGTTTTTATTTTTGTCCATCTTCGCCTGTTTTATAGGACCCTTCACTTCAATCTGCAAAATGTAACATAATTTAAGCATATAATATACACATATAATATACACACCAACATTCACAAGATTTAAGTGAGATTAACTTTTTGCAACAAAACACTAGAACTACCAGAATTCTATTACTATTAGATAGGTCTGACTTCAGTGGCACGGTGGCTTAGTGGTTAGCACTGTCGCCTCACAGCAATAAGGTCGCTGGTTTGAGTCCTGGTAGATCTAGTTGGTATTTCTGTGTGGAGTTTGCATGTTCTCCTCATGTTCGCGTGGGTTTCCTCCGAGCGCTATGGGTTCCCCCACAGTCCAAAGACATGCGCTATAAGTGAATTGGATGAACTAAATTGGCTGTACTGTGTGTGTGTATGTGTGGGAGAATGTGAGAGTGTATGGGTGCTTCTTAGTACTGGGTTGTGGCTGGAAGGGCATGCGCTGTGTTTAAAATATGGTGAAATAGTTGGCGATTTATTCTGCTGTGGCAACCCCTGATAAATAAGGGACTAAGCCGAAGGTAAATGAATGAATGCGTGTCCTCATATTTGATTAAGTCTATAAATGTGTATGAAGTTACTATACCCCCCACAGAGCTGCGCACCTCACTTTCCTCACAAAATTGAAAATTGTTCAAAATGGCCGCCTTGCCAATTCTAGTTATAATTTGTTCAAATATATTAATCAACGGCTCACACATAAAGACCTTAATAGTTACATGCGACAGGCTTATAGGAGATATGTGGCCAGGACTAGAACTGACAAATATGCGCCCTAGACCAGTGTTTCTCAGCCACGTTCCTGGAAAACCACCTGCTCTGCGCATTTTCCTGGTCTCCTTAACCAAACACATCTGATTCAGATCATCAGCTCATTAGCAGAGACTGAAAGACCTGTAATGGGTGTGACAGACTAAGGAGACATCCAAAACATGCAGTGTTAGGGGGTGCTCTAGGAACGTGGTTGAGAAACACTGCACTAGACAATATTTTCTTGCAGTTTTTATTTCAACAAATACACTAGAGGGTGCAGTGTACAATTTTGACAATCTCAAATACATTACTGGGGCACGCTTTCTTATTTGTGAGATTTCTTGTAAATCCACCAGACGTCGCTGTATACATGTTTGCGCAAGCACAAATTTGTCGGTTTTCAAAAATGTACACCAGGCTAAATTTTCCCAATCAGTCTGTGTTAGTTGCATAAGTGCGAGTCATGGTTTTTGAACAAGTCACATGTTAACACTTTATAATAAGGTCTATTCATTAGCACACACTACTGGACTATTGGCCGATTAACATAAGGTGTGGAATCATTTTCAGACAATCGCATAGCTAAAGTAGGCAGGTCTTGCTCACACTACAGTTCCATATCACAACTGAATTACTCAAGTTATTTCTTGAACACTAGTTTTATATACAGTTGAAGTCATAATTATTAGCCCCCTTTTGAATTTTCTTTTCTTTTTCAAACATTTCCCAAATGATGTTTAACAGAGCAAAGACGTTTTGACAGTACAGGTATGTCTGATCATATTTTTTCTTCTGGAGAAAGTCTTATTTGTTTTATTTCGGCTAGAAAAAAAAACAATTTTGATTTTCTTTTAAAACTATTTTAAGGTCAAAATTATTAGCCCCTTTAAGCTATATTTGTTTTCGATAGTCTACAAAACAAACCATCGTTATACAATAACTTGCGACTTGTTTATCCTAACTGACTGTAGTTTCTAAACACGAGTCAGCGGGTTTGCATCTTATCTTCTGCACCTCCACTATCCGCTCTCTCTTGCACGCACTGTGTCTGTGTGTGTGTGTGCGTGCGTGTGCAGCATGCGTGGAGATGCTGCATAAGCTCCGCCTTCCGCAGAAAGCAGAATGCAGCACGTTTGACAAAAAACTTAGCTTGTTACATTATGTAGCCTAATCATCATCATCATCTTAATTTTTTTTATATATAATATAGACAATATATCGCAGCAACATTAGCTGCCCTCATTTTCATTTATTGCGCATTAAGTCAATATACTGACTATCGTTACAGGACTATCAACATATACAGAAAAAAAAAATATATAGAGTTGAAGTCAGAATTATTAGCCCCCCGTTCATTTCCCCCCCAATTTCTGTTTAACAGAGAGAAGATTTTTTTCAACAAATTTCTAAACACAAAAGTTTTAATAACTCATTTCTAATAACTGATTTATTTTATTTTTGCCATGATGACAGTACATAATATTTGACTAGACATTTTTCAAGACACTTCTTTACAGCTTAAAGTGACATTTAAAGGCTTAACTAGGTTAATTAGGTTAACTAGGCAGGTTAGGGTAAATTATTGTATAATGATGGTTTGTTCTGTAGAAAAATATATAGCTTGAAGGGGCTAATAATTTTGACCTTAAACTGTCTTTTAAACAATTAAAAACTGCTTTTATTCTAGCTGAAACAAAACAAAAAAGTCTTTCTCCAGAAGAAAAAATATAATCAGACATACTGTGAAAATTTTCTTGCTCTGATAAACACCACTTGGAAAATATTTAAAAAAATAAATAAATAAATAAAAGGAGGGCTATTAATTCTGATAAAACTGTATATATAAAATGACTTTCTTATTCCTTCAGCTCACATTTATTCTGTCAAGCACCTGTAATGCACCTTTCTTCCACATATAATTTCCACCTGGTTCTCTTGATAAGCACGAGAGCTGATAAACGGCCGACGGAAATCCTCACCTGTGGACTGAATGAGACAGAAGGCGACTGCAGCTCACCTGGTTACTGCTGTTTTTCAGCAACGGCGGAGGATCATTATGGGGTAGCGGTGACGAGCCAGAGCTGTTTTCACTCTCACTGCCGTCACTTAAACTCACCCTGCAAAACACATGACATTTTCACCATTCATTATCCACACGTCAACATGATATGCAGTCATGGACATCCAGCTGAACTCAAGAGTTATTCGCCCTCCGGAATTATTAGCCCCCCCGTATATTTTCCCCCCAATTTCTGTTTAACAGAAAGATTTTTTCAACACATTACTAGACATAATAGTTTTAATAACTCATCTCTAATAACTGATTTATTTTATCTTTGCTATGATGACAGTAAATAATATTTCACTAAATATTTTCCAAGACAATTTTATACAGCTTAAAGTGACATTTAAAGGCTTAATTAGGTTAAGGTTAGGGTAATTAGGCAAGTCATTATATAATGATGGTTTGTTCTGTAGACTATCAAAATAAAATATTGCTTAGGGGGGCTAATAATATTGACCTTAAAATAGTTTTTAAAAATTAAAAAATATCAGATATACTGTGAACATTTCCTGGCTCTGTTAAAAATAATTTGCGAAATATTATAAAAAATTCACAGGAGGGCTAATCATTTGACTTCAACTGTATAAATCTAAAAAAAATCTAAGTGATGTTTTTGGGTAGATATTTACCTGCGGTGCCGATGTGTCATTTGAGTGTGCACTGGTCGCTCTAAGTCCGAGTCCATGTCATTATCATCGTCCTCTTCTGAATCCTCTTCGTTTTCATCCGAGTGCAAATCTGGGATCACTGAGCGCAAAGGGCCCAACACTATAGGATATGAATAAGGAAGAGGGGGAGAAACATTTCTTACTTTATTGTATGTTTAGTGTGTGTATGTAGTATATATTAAGTTATGCTAATAATAATAGCATAACAATAATAGCTTAATAATAATACGGGTCAGGCTTTCTCCAAGCAGGTTAAAATGTGTCAAATCTGTAAAATGTCACCTTGGCGTTTGTGTCCACGTCCAAAGCCGGAGCTGGAACTGGAGCTGGAACTGGCCGGACTTGGCTGATCTGACTGGGGAGAGAAAAAAGGAAAAGTACAAACTCATTAAAAAAATAATAAATAATAATAATAATAATTGAAACATTTTGGGTTTTGTGTGCTTAAGAAATCTTGAGAGCATAAAAATGAACATGCTAATCACCTCTTTTTTATTTTTATTTTTTTATACACTTTACTAAATATAAATATTCTGTGTGAACAATTGCAAAACCTTGCACACTATTGCATTTGCTCATGACTTGGGATTGAAGTCCTAAAAATTATATTTTAAGTCTGCAAATCCACACTGCAACTACCTTAGGCTTCTAGAGTTTTACAAAGAAACATTACGTATTATGTAATAAATAAAGAGTGCAAACCATATTCACTCCTAGATTGCAAATAAGATAATGAATTCAGTGATTGTGTGAACCATGAATTCAATCAGCCAACAATCAATTAAATCACCACATGACTGATAAATTAAATATAAAAAAAACACAATTAAATATAACTGATAATACAATTCAAGATAATATTTAGGTTTAAAAAGTAAATGTAACAAAACAATACAAATAAAACACAACATACAAACAAAACAGAAAATTATTTATATCTCCCTTAATATTCTAATTCTAATGTGTGTGTGTGTGTGTGTGTGTGTGTGTGTGTGTGTGTGTATATAAATATACTTACATATATTACATTACATTACAGGTACAACTTCATACAACTAAACCCTCATGCCATAAATCAGATACAGCTTAAAATAAAACAAACGAATAAAATAAAACTGTATTAAATTAAACACAGACAGTAAAAAACTACATTCCCAAATTTACAGATCTTAATTTACATATTTCTTTATTTATTTATGAACTGCTGCATTTAAGTAAAAAAATGCCATAAAGCTAAAAGAAAAAAAAGAAAAAAAAGAGAACAAAAAGAAAAGAAAAAAAATGAAAAAGAAAGAAAGAGAGAAAAAAAAAATCAAGAAAGAAAAATAAGAAAGAAAATTAAAATGATTTCATATAAATCAAAATAAAAAATAAAAAGAATGACAAAAAAGACAAAAAAGAAAGGAAAAACTATAATAAATCAAAATAAAAAGAAAGAAAGAAAAAAGACAAGAAAAAAAGACAGAAAAAAGAGAAAGAAAAAAAGATAACAAAAGAAAGACAAGAAAAAAAGAAAGACCAAAAGAAAAAGAAAGAAAAAGACAATAAGAAAAAAAGAGGAAAAAAGAAAGACAAGAAAAAAGAAGAAAAAAAGAGAGAAAGAAAGAAAGAAAGAAAGAAAGAAAGAAAGAAAGAAAGAAAGAAAGAAAGTTTGCAAAACAGGTCACTTTCGTAATTTTCAGATGTGTTGTGTTTTTATGTTGTGAAAAGAAGAGTACATTACAAAAACAACTTCTAGAAAACTCAGGGTTTGTAGCGTCAGAAATGATGTTTCTATATGGACTACTGAAGATTTCAATGGAAAAAATTCAGCAAAAATATATATTTTAAAAATGGTGGTTATCTAAACCTTTCAAATATTTTAAAAGTACTATTTGAACAGAGCTAAAGCTACTCTAAAGCTAAAACAGCACACACACACGCACACACACACACAAGAAGTGATTGAGCACAAATACCTTTTGACACCTCGTAACACAGGTTTAAAAGCAGACTCTAAAAAGAAGTGAATGTAGTTCCTCGTGAGGCCATTTTCAGGATCATCTGTTCCTCAGCAGAGGCTTTGATGGGGCTTTAGTGTCACTTCCTCACTGTAAATCAGAGCTCTCCCTCTTCACCAGGCCTAATGAAGGCTGATTTATGACCACACTGATCCCTCCAGGGCCACGTTCACACTAAAGCTCTCGCTCACACCAAACGTCTGTGCGCTTTAAGAGCCAGAACAGCCACCGAAAAGATTCATACTTGCACATTAGACAACATCAACCCAAATGATGTCAATAAAACAGTCAATATGTACCATGAGAAGTCCAAAACAAATGCTTTAGCTGTGCTACAGTAGTATGAAAGATTTTTTTGTTCTCGAAGGATGCAATTATTTAATATAAAAATACTATAAAATTTGGAAATATTTGCTGGAAGGGCATCCACTGTGTAAAACACATGCTGGATAAGTTGACGGTTCATTCCACTGTGGCGACCCCTGATGAATGAAGGAAATAAGTCGAAGGGAAATGAAGGAATATAGCAGTTTAAAAATGACATTTCTTACTGAATGTGGTTTATTATATAATTCCTTATTGTGAATAAAAGCTGAATTTATCATCATCACTTCAGTCTTTAGTGATCAGTCAGAAAGAATATTAAATCAAAAATGATCAATAGCTATTGAAAACTGTTGGACTTCTTCATATTTTTGTTGAAACTGTAACACTCAAATCTACCCATGTCATGCGTTTACTTTCATTGATAGACATTTTCCAGAAAACTAAGAAACAGGAACTAATTCTTTCAACAATCATAGTTATAAGAATCATCATTAATGATTTAGGGCTCTATTTTAGTGATCTAGGCGAAAAGTCTAAAGCATGTAGCGCAAACGCATTAAGGGATAGTCCGAATCCACTTTTGCTTTAAGGATGGAAAATAAAATAAATAAAATTAAAAAAAAATGTATTAAATTAAACACAGACGGTAAAAAAAACTATACTTACTTGAACTTACTTAAACTACTTAATTGACATTATTTCTTTATTTATATATGAAAAAGTTAAAAATTTAGCCATAAAGCTAAAAGAAAAAAGAAAAAAAGACAGAAAATAAAAAAAAGAAAGAAAGAAAAAGAAGAAAGAAAAAGAAAAAGATTTCATATAAATCAAAATAAAAAATAAAAAGAATGTCAAAAAAAAGACAAAAAAGAAAGAAAGGAAAAACTATTTTTGTGTTCTAGGCGGAAAATGTAAAGCATGTGGCGCAAATGCATTAAGGGAGAGTCCGAATCCACTTTTTCTTTAAGGATGGAAAAATACACTCTATAACGTGGCGCATGATGTTGTGCTTATTGTCTTAATGAGTTATAGGTGTGTTTTGAGCATAACATGCATTAAACCAATCAGAGTCTTATCTCCAAATCCCTGTAAGAGTCAATTTCGTAGCACCTTGGCACATTTGCTATTTACATGCCAGACTTTACATTTCTCCAGTGAGAAAACAGATCAGTGAGTTAAACAGACCATCTGCAGCACGAGGATAAAGAACAAGCCTTCTCCAATCTGCCTCTTTACTTTCACTCTTTACTCCTTTACTTTTATGGATAAGGAAACAGTGTTGTTCGCACTCCATTGAAGACATATTTATTTTGTTTGTTAGGCACAAAGATTTGTTTGAAAACTGTTTCTAAATTCAGTTTTAATTTCCAGCAAACAAATAAATGAACAATAATAACGAAGTGTACTAAAAAAAACTGAGATATATTCAAACACATGTCCCATTATTATGCCCCATATGGTGATGCATAAGTCTCCAAAACCTGACAGGTGGGCAAATCTAAGCTTGTTTTTATTAAAACAAATATAAATATGCGTATAATACATAATACTGCTAATAATAATAACGTTATACGAATGCAAATTGTCATGACTAAACTGATATAAAGCCCACCAAGAGAAAGGCAGAGAAGTAGTTTTAGGTTTAAATTTTTGTTGATCAGTTTTTAGTTGGTCAATGTCGCAGTCTATTTCAATTCCTCAAATTAGCAATGCAGAAACAATGAGCTTTAACACACCTCCTTTATAGACCAGCAGTCTACAAAGTGGCACAAATGGATTTGCTATTTAAACAATGTGGTGCAAAATGTGTAATTTAGGGATGAACTCATCTGAAAAAGCAACAAATCGAGCCAAACAAGTCTTGCGCCTTATTGCGCCGGGTGTATGATGGGGCTTTAAAAATGTAACAATAATATTGAATCATTGCAGAGCAGCAAATTAGCATATTATAATGATTTCAGAATGATCATGTGACACTGAAGACTGGAATAATAAAACTGCTTTGAATCACAGGAATAAATGACATTTTTAACCATATTTAATTAAAAAAATTATTTTAAATAGCAATAATATTTCACTATTTGATAGTTTTTACTGTATTTCTTTCAGCCTGGCTGAGATGAATATGGCTTCTTTAAAAGAAAAAAAAAGATTAAAGATAAAAGATGAAAGATTTTGAACACTAATATATATATTGCTGATAATACAGACGTTAATCATAAATGAAAACAGTAAAGCGAATTAGACACTTTATATTTTAACTTTTTGTTAGTTTTTGTATATTTGATATAAATATTTATATATAATTTGTATATATTATAACTGCAGCATTTATTGAAAGGTTTTGCAATAAATCAGGTACACCTAAACAAAATAAACAAATAATAAATAAATAAAACTGAACAAACATAATATGCAAACATACAAACAACAAAAAACTAAATATTAAAAGAACTAAAATTGATTTCTAGATCTACAATTCACAGATGTTATTTTACAATTTTTCTTGATTTGTGAGGGAGACGAGTATTGAACACGTTACCATTTTTTCACAAAATATATTTCTAAAGGTACTGTTGACTTGAAATTTTCCCTGGATGCTGCTAACAACAACAACAACAACAACAAAAAACTATATATGCAAAGGAAACAAATCTAATTAGACTACAAATTAAGTTTTGTGTCACAATATGAAAAGACACAGTGGAAAGTATTGAACACAGGAAGAAAGGGAGGCATAGAAAGGCAGTGAAAGCCCAGACAGCAGCTAAAATCTCTCAGTAGTTCTTCAGCAACCCTCTGCTCAACCCTCTTGTTTCAGTCCAACAGCTACATTATCAGGGTGATGAAGATGAAACCAGGGCGGAAATTTCAGCAAGACAATAATCCAAAACACAGCCAAGGAGACTCTCAAATGCTTTCAGAAAAAGGAAATAAAGCTGTAGAACGGCCCAGCCAATCACCTGACTTGAATCCAATAGAAAATACAAATTAAACATCAGATTTGACCCACAGAACCAACAAGATT